AGGGGATTTTAACATCAAATTCCTTGAACAAGATTCAGAAAAAAATGAATGAGTTTCAGATTCCATCTGATTTAGGTCGAATTCTGGGTAAAATTCATGAAGGAGAGGGATTTTCTAATTTCACAGCCGATCAGTGGTAAATATTCTTTACTGTATATACTACTGTTTCATTTTAGGAACATCTTCTGATTGTAGATAGAAAATTCTTACAAATTTCGTGAGAATTTGTATAATTTTAGTAAACCGGATTGTGGAATCAAATCTATTGCATGAAGCTTATAGAAGATTAATTAGAATAATAAAGTTGATAGAAGAAAATCATGGTCGTAACAAAATCACGTCGAATTTCTACCTTTCTTTCCATTTGAATGAATGCTCAATAGATTATGGGCTGTTATTATCATTCTGGTATTTTTTTTGAACGCATGAATGGAATAATAGGTAACTCATTATTATTATTTAATAAATCATTATATATCTAATAACTTAACATTTTTTTACAATTTTTAGATTCTTTGCCAAATAATAATAGAAAAATCGAACTTGAGCTAATGCATCGATTAATATTTGATAGTCAAATCAATAGTATTATAAGTTCTGGTAGCATTGAAGTAAAAGGGCTTGAATTGTTAGACAACCATCTTTCTATAGGTTCTCTATTGGATACAGACCAATTTTCTACTGATGAAATTCACCGATTTTGGATGAATTCACGAAATATTAGGGAATCGAATATTTCTGGTAGTGAAACATTTCCCAGCGAATTTCTTAAACCATCATCTAATAATATAATTCTTTCAAGTAAAATGCTTGATTTGATGGTTGAATATTATATGGCGACTTATAGCATGTTAGAATTTCAGAAGCCATTCAATGAGGATTCAGAAAATGCTATAACAATTCGAGTCAAAATAAACCAATTCGGAAGGTGCTGAATTAGTTCTGAAATCTTTGGTTCATCAATGTCATTGCGACATGTGAAAAGTTCATACATTTTGGCCAAATTTATTACATATGACGGCATAGTTGATTGTTATCCAGGTCAAATTCAATACTATTATACTCATATAGTCAATTTGCCGTCTAGATCGGCTAAACATTTTCTAGCATACATTCGCTAGTATAAACCTGCAGGTTCTCCAAATATTTGATACTATTTCCGCGATGATGAAGAAACATGTAATGTCGAATTATGGAATACCGATTTTTACCCAGAAAGTCGTGATTGTATTATACCGATTCATCATATTTTGGATCGATTTATGCCAGTAAACTATCAAATTTCAACCCAACGAAATGCAAAAGAATATTTGGCCATCAATCCCATTAATAGAAAATACCATCTATAAATGCAATTTTCTTTGAATTTTATTTTTTCATTGATAAAATTAGTAATGTCCAAATTTATCAAATAAATCTGATTATTCCAATCAGCTATAAATCAGATGGTTGAATTTTGACTAATTTTAATGTATTCCAATTGGCATAGGTTGAATTTTGGCTGATTTTGATATATATCAATCGGCTAGAAATCAGACGTGCAAATTTTGGTCGATTCTTGATATATACCAAATCGGCTATAAATCAAATAGCTTGATTTTGGCTGATTTTTGATAATATTTGATTTTAGGCTGATTTATTACATGGCTGATTTTTTGATTTAAATCAGTGTAAAAAGAATTTTTAAAATTATAACTAGGTAATGAATTTATTTTTTTAATTAATTTATTTTAATTATTTATATAAATATTTAATATTTTTTTTATAAATTTATAGCTATCAAAATTTAATATTAATATTTACTGATAATAAACTTGAAATTAGAATTAATCTTAAATTAGAAAATAAATAAATAATACATATTCTATTACTTATGATAAAATAACTTTACAATTAAATAATAGGTAAAGATCAACAATCTTTATGAAAAAAAAAAAATAAGAAAAAAATAATACAAATCAGTAATTTTTTTAACTAATATAATTAAAAGATTAAAATAATAAAAAAGAAATTTAAAATAGAAATATAAATAAAGCATATATTATAATTAATTTTAAAAAAGTTTTGATAAATAGTAAATTAATTAATTAGATATTATATTATAATAAATTATTATAATTTAAAAATTTTTAAATATTAAAAATTATTTTGTAATATTATTAGATTACAATATAATTTTTAAAAAGATATATATAAGCATGATTATTATATTTGCTTTTGATAATTCCTCTAGTATTAAAATTAGCTAGTGATACTCTTAATATAATAAATATAAATTTCAATCTAGATGATAAACAGCTAATTATATATGGTATTTAATGATCAAATTCAAATTATAGTATTTCCTTCTAATTATCCTGATGAGATACTTTATAAAATATCTAAATGAATGAAAATAATTTTACAAAATTAAAAGCTTATTATGATAAAGATAATATAGTATTAGATAATCTAAAATGTTATGTATCAGTAACGTTTACCTCTTAATGGAGCATATTGAAGATGATCATTTACGTAAGAAATGAATTAGAAGAGATAGAAGTTAGGAGAGCAGATTAGTATCAGCTATTTAACAGGATTTTAGTAATCAAAAAACTATTATTATAAGAAATTATTGAAGGATTAGAACATAAAGTAATTTTTTATCCTAAATTTCATTATGAACTTAATTATATTGAAATGTATTAGAAAGCTGCAAAAAGGTATACTCAACAGTATTATAATTATACATGAAAAGGATTACAAAAATAGTTCAAATAAATTAGCTTTAATTTCTTTAATTTCTTTAAATCAAATATGTAAGTAAGTATGCTAGAAAATTAGCTAAATTTATGGAATATTATTGAAAAGGGTTAATAGGTTTACAAGCTAATATGTTTTAAAAAAAATAAATCATATCGAACGTTTCCAGATTTATTTTGGAAAATATTGATGAAGAAACTTAATATCATGTGATTTAATTTTAACCATTAAATTAATAATATGATTCTTGTCACGTGATTATTAAAAATGCTTGAAAAACATTTAATGGCTTATTGAGTTTCAAAAAGTCAAATAGAAGTTGTCAAAAAAATTTTTTAAATTTCATTTTTTTTACTGGACTTTAAATGACTTGTTTTGATATAATAATGTCATGGTGTTTAAAAATATAAGATAAAGTAAAATAGTGATGAAACAGTTGCCGCAGCGTCTAAATTGACTTAACTTTGATATTCATTAGCGAGCGGTTGCAAAAAGAAGATATATATGATAAGAATTATTGGAGGATAATATGTATTTAGTATGTGTAAGAAGGCGTTTATTTGTTCTGAAGATACTCGTTCCTACTGTTTTGCATTTTTGTTTCTATTGCTAAAAACGATAGATAATAAAGACTTTGAAGATGTGTGATAGATTTATCGAAAAGGATACCAAATTCTCGCATATACGCTATCTCCAACCATGCTTTAAATATTAGACAAAAAACCAATTGTATTCTTTCGGAAAAAATTAGGCTAAAATCAAAAAGTAATTGAATCTCACTTATTCGTATATATATCATACTGATTTTTCGTTCAAAAATATTTAAAACTTAAAATACCCCTGCTAAACAATCATCGTGTCTACCAAAATTGTGAAATTTTTTTTTAAATATAACTGAATTTTTTATTTTCTGTTCCTTTGATTAAGTTAAATGGTAGAAGTTTACACTAGAATTGACTCTATAGGTCATTATCTATTAATTATCACTAATTCAAATGATCCTTGCTTTTGGCTTTTAAATGAAATTCACGTGACAAATAATGCAAAAAAATTTTTTTCGTAAATTCAAAATTTTTTCTTATATCGAATACAGTATACGAAAAAAAATATAGATATTTTCAAATGTCAAACAAAATGGACCTATCTATAACCATTTCCATCAAACTTTTTAAATCCGCTATAAGCTAGCAACTTACACTTTTAGTGAAACTATTATGTTGTTAAGATACTAAGCATTCACGTGACTACTTACGGAAAATTTATGTTAGCTTTACATCATATTATGGCACTTTATTTTATATAAATATCTACCTTATGGTTTCGTTACTTTTTCATTTTAAAATGAATAATCCATTAGACGAAATTTTTGATGTTTTTTATAACATATTTACTAATCCTGATAAATCCGCTTTAGAAAAGGAGGTCAAAAGAACTTTTACTCCCGATCTTGAATTTAAGCATTTTTTAGCATTTGTTCCAGCTGGAATTGGATCCAGAGAAATAATCATTTCCCATTATAAATTCTTCCGAGGTGAGAGACATTTAATTTATAATGAAATAATTAATATTCTCATATAAATGTTCTTATTGTTTTATAGGAGTTTACCATAGTAATATTTTAGATATCCATGAAAAATATAAGTTTTCTCCATTTAGCCTTTCTTCTTCACCGACAATTGAGTAACGTCTATTAGGGTTTAATGAACAATCTGGCAGGATGGTCCTTGAAGTAACTGAATATATGAAATTCATATATGTTTCATGAAGAGTGACTCCTTTCAGGTAAAATACAAAAAAAAATTATCTTTATTTAAAGTATGTTTTATTGTATGGTAAATGATTTTCTTTACAGGCTTGTCATCATTCTTAACCTTCAAAAAACCGAAGAAGGAAAATACTTTATTAGTAGGCATGAAGATTTGTGTTAACCAGAAGAATTACTTAGTGTGTATATACCTTACGTTACACCTACATTATTGGTAATAGCTAAAAGGGCAACTTCATTCATTACGAGGCTTATTGGCTCAACTTTCAATTTAATTAGATGGTGCTGAATTTATTAAGCAAATTCGTAAATGTACGAACTTGTCATTTGGTTAGTCAAATGATCAGCCATTTACATATTAATTAATATGGTTCTCATTTAATCACATGAAAATATAAATAAAGAAAATTTATTTGTTTAAAGTAATCCCCTGTCGCACTAAGTGTCATGATTAGATTTTTATTATTATTTTTATAATAAAAGCTGACTAACAGTTTAGATGTAACTTTTATTATTATTTTTATAATAAAAGTTACATAATAATTCAAATGTAACTTTATTATATTTTTTATAATAAAAGTTATTTTTGATAGCTCAAATTATATATGAAGTTGAAATGGATCATTTTGACTATTCAAAATAGTTAAAATAGTCAAAACATTTTGACTTTAAAAAAGATTAAAAGTTGAAATAGTCAAAATATCATGATTTTTCATATATAAAAATCTAAAAAACAAAAAATATATGAATACAGTCAATATTGCTCTATTTTTTATATAACAATTACCATTCGATTCTTTGTGATTAAACAGATCCAATAAGCTATATTATATCAATTTCTGATTAGCTAAAATTATAATTTAATAAATTCTATTTTAAATAAAGAGTCTAGATTTTAGAAATAAGATTGCTATTATCTTGAAATTGACTGATTCAAAATCAATGATAATTAGCTCATTGGATCTATCTAGTCACAAAGAATTGAATAGAAGTTAATTTATAAGAAATTGAGCAATATTGATCAAGATCATACATTTTTTGTTATTTTAGATTTTTATATATGAAAATCATATGATATAATATCATTCAACTATTGCAACTTTCATTTTAACTTTTAGATTTTTATTTCAATTTCATGTTATCATTAGAAATAATTTTTTTTACACATATTCTGCTAAGTTACTTTACTGTGACAAGTAAGTTTCTTATCATCAGACTTTATAACCTTAAGAAATTTCACGTTTTACAGGTAACTAAAATTCCTTAAATTATTTCACTTATCTTTATAAATTTAAAGTAATAATGCTATTTGAAACCTATTTTAACGTATAGCTTAAAAATTTAGATACTATTTCAAAACCTTTAAAATGATTTTTTTTTAAACTAAAACTTGATAAAACTTAATTGAGTTTAGGAAACTCCATTAAAAATTTAGGTAAAAATATTTATTATAAACAAATAGTTTTATCTCAAATATTTTAAAACTTAAATTTTCTAAAAATAGTTTAGGAAGGCATCTTTAACTTAAAGGTTTAATTAAGGATTTAGAAGAAACTTAGAAAATTTATTTATTCTAAATGATGAACTCAATAGCAAGTTAATGCAGTAATTTACAATCAAATCTTAGATAATGAATATATAGAATGAAAAAGTAATTCTATTTTAAAGTTGATTCCTTTATTTATTACTTGAAACTTGCAGAAGAATATAAAACTTACTAAAAAGTTATAAACTAGCAATTGAATTAATTTACAATTTAAGTAAAAAGCTATTCTATTTATACAATATTAATTTGCTACTATTAACTAATTGCTATGCTATAAACTAATTAAATTTGTAACTACAAATGTTAATATACAATGGCTTACAAAAGAAATACAAGTAGAGTTGCTTGCCTTTAAAAGCTTATAACTCACTAACTACAAATGCTAGAAATATGATTTTTGTATAGAAATGTTAACGGTCTAACGTTGAACAGTTCAGACCAATCCTGATCATAGGATCAGTTTTGTTCCAATTTAAGGGGTAGACTGGAATGAGATCAGATTGACAGACTGCAATCTTAAAGACTGGTTCAATTAGATTATCAAATAATCATTTACGCATTTTTACATGTCTAATTTAAATAAGATTTTTTTTAATTTGCATTCATTGAGCAACTATATTTAGCATAATTTCATTTAAAAATGATCAAAATAACAATAATAATTCGGATGTTATCTCTGATTCTGTGGCAACTGAAGAGGAAACTCTCACAAATATAAAAGCTCACAATTCAGATATGTGGGAATTTTTTCATAGAGTTCAAGATGAGGAAAATAGGATAATTAAAAACTACAAATGCATTTTATATACGAAACTTTATTCAACTAGTAATTCAACAACTACTCTTCGACGTCATTTAATTATAAACATTCAACATTATACAAAAAACCTGAATCTTGTCAAACAACCTTACATTTTAAATCTTATTCTCTATTACAATCAAAGCTTATTACAAACCTTATAGTTGATTATGTTGTAACTGATTTACAACCTTTTATATTGTTGAAAATCCTGAATTTATATTGCTAATCAATAAATTGGATCCTCATTATATTTTACCATGCAGACAAACTTTCAAAAAAAATTTTATGAAAAACTATGGTATAAAAAAAAATAATTTAATAGGTGAAATTTCTCAAATTAATTTGAAGGTATCTCTTATAATAAACATATAGACTTCAAATGTTTCAAAGTATTGTTATCTTGGAATAACAATGCATTATATTAATCCTAATTGGAAATTAAAAAATTTTTTGCTTGATTTAATCCTATAAAGGCTATAAAAGGATCTCATACTGCTGAATTAATAACTTGTAACCTTTGACAATTTCTTAAAGAATTCAAAATTAGTAATAATATACTTGTATTAACAATAGACAATGAAGGCAATATAATAGTATGTGGTAATCAACTAGCATTTGAACTAGATCAAGAATTTAATAATATGAACTTTAATTATTATCGATGTGCTGCCTATATAATTAATTTAGAAATACAAGCAGAAATAAAATTTGTTAGAAATGAAATTAAAAAGCTTTGCTAATTTGTCATTAAAGTAAAAAATTCACCATTGTTATGGACAAATTATCAGAAATTTATACTTTTAAGAAAGTTAAATTTCTAAAACCAATTTTAGATGTAAAAACTCATTTAAATTCTATATATTTAATAATATTTCGATAAATTTTAATGCAGAATATGAATTTTAATGAACTTAATAGTTTATTTTCAGTAATTTCTAAATGGCGTCATATTAAGGTATATTTTATTTTATAATAATTATAATTTTTCTTTTTAATTAATTATTAATTTTCATAGTTTTTTTTTTTTAGAAATTATCAATAATCTTACAATCTATGTATGAGGCAACTAATTTATTATTATCATCAACAAATCCTACACAAGATAATATAAGATTTGTTTTTATAGAAATGTTTAAAAAATTAAAATATTATCAAAGAGGAAATCATTATACACAAAAGGAAATCACGTCAGTAATTTATAACAAATTAAAAAAATATTGGAATAAACATTTAAATCAATTTTCTATAATTTCTTCGATATTAGATCCTCATTACAAAATCACATTATTTGAGGATAATTTATCTGAAATTATTAATA